CCGAGTAGCCGGAATTACAGGCGTGCGCTACCACTCCCGGCTGATTTTTTGATTTATTGTAGAGATGAGGTCTCGCTGCCCAGGTGGGTCTCGAACCCGCGGGCTCAGGCAATCCACTTACCTCAGCCTCCCAAAGGCGCGGGATTACAGGCTGAGCCACCGAGCCCGGCTTATTTTATTTTTTATTTATTTTTTTAGTTGGAGTCTCATTCTGTCGCCCAGACTGGAGGGCAGTGGCATGCTCCTGGTCACCGCAGCCTCGACCTGCTGGGCCCTGGCGATCCTTCCGCTTCAGCCTTCCAAGTACCTGGAACAACAGGCATGCGCTACCACGCCCGGCTAATTTTTTGATTTATTGTAAAGATGAGGTCTCGCCAAGTTGCCCAGGCGGATCTCGAACCCGCGAACTCAGGCAATCCACTCACTTTCGTCTCCCAAAGCGTGGGATTACAGGCTGAGCCACCAAGCCCTGCTGAGGGATTGATTTTAAAAGGAAAAAAAAACCAGGGCCAGGTGTGGTAGCTCACACCTGTAATCCCAGCACTTTGGGAGGCAGAGGCCAGAGGACTGATGGAGCCCAGGAGTTCAAGACCAGCCTAGGCAACATAGCAAAAACTCAATACTAAAGATCAGTTAGCTGGGTGTGGTGGCACACACCTATAGTCCCAGCTACTCTGGAGGCTGAGCAGAAGGGTCACCTGAATCCAGGAGGTTGAGATTGTGGTGAGCCAAGACCATGCCACAGCACTCCAGCCTGTGTGACAGAGTGAGAACCTGACTCAAAAATACTAGGGGTGCCAAAAAAAATGTATACAGATTTTTTTTTTTGGAGTTGGAGTCTCACTGTTGTCCTGGCTGGAGGGCAGTGGCATGCTCACGGCCACTGTAGCTTCGACCTGCTGGGGTCAGGAGACCGTTCTGCCACATCCTGCCAAGTAGCTGGAACTACAGGCATATGCCACCATGCCTGGCTAATTTCTTGATTTATTGCAGAGATGAGATTTGACCTACTCATCATTGTTTTTGCCAGCACTCACCACACTGCCTGGCACATAGTAGGCATTCAATATACTACCAATGAATAAAGTGAATAAAATAACTATAGTTTAGCCTCTACATGAGGCTATAGACCAGGTCTCTTGTATCACTCATTACAATCTGTCAAAAAAAAAAAAAAAAAACCCATGACTGGGTGCAGTGGCTCAAGCCTGTAATCCCAGCACTTTGGGAGGCCGAGGCAAGAGGACTGCCTTAGACGGCGGGTTTGACACCAGCCTGGGCAACATTGTGAGACCCCGTCTCTACAATAAATAAAAAAAATTAGCCAGGCGTGGTAGCGCGCACCTGTAGTTCCGGCTACTTGAAAGTCTAGGTGGAAGGATCGCCGGAGTCCAGCAGGTCGACACTATGGTGGCCATGAGCATCACTCCAGCCCGGGCAGCGGAGTGAGACTCTAACTAAAACAAAAAACAAAAAACCCCCCCATAAACTGGTGTGATTAGTCAAATATTTTCCTTATACCATTTGCTGAAAAGATGGTCATTTTCCCCATTGAATGACCTTACTCCCTCTGTTGAAAATCTGTTTCAGTTGACCATTCTGGACTTTCCATTCTGTTCCATTGGCCCATATGTCTATTCTTTTTTTTTTGAGTCCTAGTCTCACTTTGTCGCCCAGGCTGAAGTTTGGTGGCACGCTCATGGCCACCCTAGAGTCGACCTGCTGGGCTCCGGCGATCCTTCCGCCTCAGCCTTCCAAGTAGCCGGAACTACAGGTGTGCGCTACCACACCTGGCTGATTTTTTTAATTTATTGTAGAGATGAGGTCTCACTGCCCAGGCGGGTCTCGAACCCCCGCGTGGGCTCAGGCAATTCACTCACCTCAGCCTCCCAAAGGCGCGGGATTACAGGCTGAGCCACCGAGCCACCGAGCCCGGCTCATATGTCTATTCTTGTAGTATATTCAAAAAATTGGCCAGGCACAGTGGCTCACGCCTATAATCCCAGCATTTTGGGAGGCCTAGGTGAGAGGATTATTCTGAGATTATCTGTATTGCCACATATTATTTCAGTAGTGAAATACATGTTTGTTCTATTGTAGAATAACTTCCATTGTATGAATACACGTATACTTCAAAAAGTCAATGCCATCGAAAGACCAAGAGACTCATAAACGATGAGTCCAAATGCAGTGCATGAATTTTGATTAGATCCTGGCTTAAAACAAAACCAGGCCAGGCACAGTGGCTTACACCTGTAGTCTTAGCACTTTGGCAGGTCGAGGTGAGAGGATCACCTGAGTCGAGTTTGAAACCAGCCTAGGCAACATGGTGAGACCTTGTCTCTCCAAAAATAAAAAAAATTAGCTGGATGTGGTGGCGTGTGCCTGTAGTCCCAGCTACTAAGGAGGCTGAAGCAGAAGGAATGTCTGAGCCAGAAGATGGAGTCTGCAGTGAGCCGTGATTGTGCCACTGTACTCCAGTCTGGGCAAGAGAGTGAGAAATTTGACTCAAAACAAAACAAAAACAAAAACCTGAAAAACCATAAAATATATTATTTGGACAACTGAGGAAATTTAATTATGGACTGGTTATTAGGTACTATCAGTGTAGTTAGTTTTTGTAGTTCACTAAGTCTTTTCTTGGCAAATCTCTATCGTTTCTCTAGTAATGGCACCACCATTTTCTGAGTCCCCCAGCCTTTCTAAGTCCACCACCCCTATTATACCAGTTCAGGTTTTCATCACTTCTTTTTGAATAGCTTTACTGAGATACAACTCAAATGCCACACAATTACCTGCCTAAAGCGCACAATTAAATGTTTTTCAGTATTCCAAAGTTGTGCAACCATCATGCCAATTTTAGAACACTTTCATCACCCCCAAAAGAAGCCCTGTACCCATTTTTTTTATTTTTTGAGTTGGGGTCTCACTCTGTCACCCAGGCTGGAGTGCAGTGGCACACTCAAGGCCACTGCAGCCTTGACCTGCTGGGCTCAGGTGATCCTTCTGCCTCAGCCTTCCAAGTAGCTGGAACTACAGGTGTAAACCACCACGCCTGGTTAACTTTTTGATTTATTGTAGAGATAGGTCTTACCAAGTTGCCCAGCCTGGTCTCAAACCTCTGGCCTCAGGCAATCACCTTGCCTTGGCCTCCCGAATTGCTGGAATTGCTGGGATTGTAGGCGTGAGCCACCAAACCCTCACATCTGATCTGACAGTTTCAGCATCCTCTGGACTCCTATCTCCACCTTTCGTGTTCCAATTCAGTACACACACCAACAGCAATTTCATGTCCCTCAAGCACAGGATACCCTCTCGCCAGATACCTCCAGTGACTCCTGGAGAGCAGCGGTCCCCATCCTTTTTGGCATCAGGGACCGGTTTCGTGGAAGATAATTTTTCCAGGAGTGAGGCGTATCATCCATCAGATATTAGATTTTCCTAAGCACTGCAACCTGGATCCCTTGCAGGTGCACCGCTCCCAGGAACCTGACAGGCCATGGACTGGCCTGGGGGTTGGGGACCCCTGCTTTAGGGAACAAACATCCATGAACACAAATTACATTTATTCCAGGTGCCGCTCACAAAAAAGGATTATTACTGTAAGCTGTCCTTTGTCGCTAGAGCTCCACTGCTCAGGCAGCTCCCTCTGCACAGAACCCTCTCTATCTCACCCCATGCATGCCCCCTTCCCCAGAATTGGCTCCCAACTTCCAAGGGCCATCTTCCCCGACAAGGGGCTGAGAACCCCGCAGCTCTTGGGGCTCTCTTGACCTTTATCTAACCCACTCCCTTGCACACACTTGAAAAGACACATTTTACTTTCAAGCCATGGTACCTTGCCGTTTATTTATATCTTCTTTGACTTCTTTCAGCAACGTTTCGTATTTTTTCAGTGGGCAAGTCTTTCACCACCTTGGTTAAATTTATTCTTAGGCATTGTTATTTTGGTTGATACTGTAAAATAAACTGCTTTAATTTTTTTTTAATTTTTTTCTTTGAGCTGGAGTCTCACTCTGTCGCCCAGACTGGAGTGCAGTGGCCGCTCCCGGCCACCGCAGCCTCGACCTGCTGGGCTCCGGCCATCCTTCCGTCTCAGCCTTTCAAGGAGCTGGAACTACAGGCGTGCACTACCACGCCCGGTTAATTTTTGATTTATTGTGGAGATGAGATCTCGCCAACCTGCCCAGGCGGGTCTCGAAGCCGCGAGCTCAGGCAATCCACTCAGCTCAGCCTCCCAAGGGGCGGGATTACAGGCTGAGCCACCGAGCCCGGCGCTTTAATTTTTAAAAAATACATGTTTTTAGCCGAGCGCGGCTGGTCACGTCTGTAAGCCTAGCACTCTGGGAGGCGGAGGCGAAAGGATTACCTGAGCAACATGGCACAGACCTCATCTCTATAATAAATTAGAAAATTAGCCGGGCCTGATGGCGCGTGCTTGTGGTTCCAGCTACCTGGAAGGCTGAGGAGGAAGGATCGCCTGAGCCCAGCAGGTCGAGGCTCCGGTAGTCCTGAGCGTGCCACTGCACTCCAGTCTGGGCGCCAGAAGGAGACTGCAACTCAAAAACAAAAAAGAAAAAAATACGTATTTTTAGGACGGAACGTACTCTCTGGACGCAGCGAGGCTTCTTTTCGGGAAAACGTCCGCAGGGAGCGGCTCTTTAGCATGCCACAACCTCCACTCCGGAAATGACGTATAAGAGGGCACTTCCGCAACCCTGGAAATCATAGATTTGAGCGGGCTAGGAGGGCTCGGCTCTTCAGGTCACGTCTGCGCGGAGAGACCTCCAGGTCTCTGTGGTCCGCGATTCCGGTGCGGACCCCAGAGCCGCCCTCTTCCGGCGCTCCCCGACCCCCGCCCCCGGCCCCGCCCCGACGCCGGCCGTGACGGAGGCGCGTCGGGGGTGACCTCACCCTCCAACATGGCGGCGGCGGTAGATTAGGGCCGCG